ATTATTGTAAAATTGAATTTTATATAGCTGATATTCTAATTATTAGATTCACCTAATTATTACATAAGGACACATTGTAAAATCAATTTAAGACTAGTTGGTTAGGCAATATTGTGAAATTAATTGTAAGACACTCAAGATGCAGCTATCTAGAATATGTATCTATGATATAAATAAGGATAGCCTTGTAAGTATGGTTATTTTGATCTTTCTCTTGAAGATGATCACTTGGTAATCGAAACATGGGTCGAGGTGGTAAAATAACGGTTTAGTGTTGGCAAAAAACCCCAGTAATTTATAAATTCAATAGTCTAAACAGGCTTTAACAACATTATAAGAAATTATGAATGGACTGACCCGTAACTTGGATGAAAATTCATTGGTGGCAATGATGAAGCTACGGGTTTAGCAAAATGTGTCTGGAATTGAAAAACGTTTGTTAAAATTGTTTGATAAATATCATCGTTAGTAATAGGAAATGCCATCCTTCTCAGGAATTTCTTTAGGTTCCAAATATGTCGTTATAATAAATAACTTCCGACTTGTAGGTACTATCGATAAGATACTCCAGATACTGCATCACAATTTTATATTTCATATCATCAAAATTCCACGTCGCGTCTCCCTCTATTCATTTTCATTCATTTCTGTGTTCTATACCTTTTTCATTACTATGCAAAGTCCACAGAGTCCATTTCAGACACGTTTTGTTCCGCAGAATTCACGTACTGATGCAGAAAACAACTGCAAACAATAAAATTATGTTACCGAATATCATAAATTTGGCATGATAAAATCTGAAATACAATGAAATGTATGACGGAACAATGGAATACTTTATTGGGCGCTGTCAAAAGGATACCGCGATAGTTTGACGATTTGTTGAACGTGCGGAACCCATCACGTGCTTTTTTATCAATCACAAATATCAGGTGTCACTTCAACACCCCATAGGCATAGTGAATATCAATTGTTATCAAATTGTTTCGAAAATTCACGTAACTAAATATATTGCTATTGTTTGCTAAGAGATATTTTGGATTAGAAATTGCTAATCAAGGTTTCTGCCTAATAAATTCCAAGTTAGGTGTTAGTTAATTTAAGTTTTTGGCGTATGATTACTGGTGACATTTTGTATGATATTTTTGGGGGTAATGAAGTAATGAAACGAGTTGTTCACATTAACAACCCTTCTCATTCATAAGTGTTCCCACGAGTAGCAAGGAAATAGTTGGTCACCTCTGGCAGAGCCCCGCATTACCAGAGGTAGGCTGATTAAAATGAAGTTTCGCTCAGTTCCACAAGGGCATCATTCGTGATCGCATTTCGCCCTGCGGCCACCCAGCTGTCGACACGATTCCTTACACCTTAGCTTGGGTAGGCTGGTCCACGATGGCATGTTTTGCAAACGATTTTGGGAGGAGTACCCACGGGTACTCCTACCCTTATTTTGGATAACCTCTGGTTTTCGTCAACAATTCAATTCAATCTATATAAAAATATAAACTCCCAACATGAATCTCTGATATAAAAATGAATATCAAACATATTTTTACAATCTCGAAAATTCTTTTGTTCCAGTTTGGATGCCCGAGACGGTCCTATAGACAAAGCCTCTCATCTAGCGATGAGTGATGACCTGGGATCTCGAAGCTACTTCATCACTGAAGATGAGCCATCCAAAGCCAGATTACGGATTCAAAACATCAACATTCACGACCAAGGAGTATTCAGATGTCGAGTGGACTTCGTCAATTCTCCCACAAGAAATTTTCAGGTCAACTTGACTTTAGTAGGTTAGAGTTGCATTCCTGAGATTGTCAAAGTCATTAGCTCTAATAATGTTTGAGTCATGTTTATGAATATTACATTATATTGAATCGTGTTTAATGAGTCTTCATCTTTTTGAAAAAATGTCTTGAAATTGAAACTTGAATTTAAATTAAGTTGGAAGTAATCTGATATTACTTTGATATATCAATTTAGAGTCTCATATTAGTTGTTTATTGTTATTTCTGTCCTTTTTTCCATATTTCCCTTTGATAACCCTGTCTGTCGCAAGGAACCTGAGAATAACCCTTTCGAAGTGTTCATTTGCTTGATTTCAGATCAGCCTTCTGCACCAAGAATATTTGACGCTGAAGGGCGAGAAATCAAAGTGAACCATCCAGCCGGACCATTTCTGGAGGGATATGAGTTGTTTCTTTCATGTCAAGTTACTGGAGGTGGGTTGAGACCTGTTTACATAGTGCTTGAGTTTTGATAAAACTAGTTACTTTGTCCATGAGGTTGTTTGCAAGTGGTGGAGAAAATGTCACATATATGTACAAAAAACATTTAGGTGAATTTGACTAATAGAATCGCTCATAAATATTACGGTCAATTATTATTGAAATTTTTGCAACGCAAGAACGAAATAACAAGAAATTGAAGTTCATGGATTATAACTTATAACAAAGTAAATCACCAGTGGTAACGAAATATTCAGTTGGTGCATCTCAAAAATTGGTATCATAGAACACAAATATTCATAAAACACCCAATGCAAAGGAACTGAAAACTCTTTTTTAAATACTGTGAACTTTTGTTAATTTTATCGTACTGAGATTCAAAATATGAAGTGTGATTCTCTGTATTGATGTTATTCTTGAATTTGAATGATATTTGAAGGTGGTTGACAATGTTTCGTGGTGCATTTCTTTAGTTTGGATTTTTTTTTCTAAGGCTACAAAGTCAAATCTGCATAGCAGATCAGGGTAATCACAGTTTCTTGAAGGATAAGTTCCGGTTATTCTAAAAGTGAGAGATTTAAAAACTTTTTTTGGACTTTATCAATTGCTGATGTGTTTTGATAGTATATGGGATTCCATATAATGGACTTATATTCTAGTTTTGGCCTCACCAGACTGAAATACAGAGAGGTCAAGGTTAGCATATCATGAAAATTTTTGCAGTTCCTTATTATAAAACCGTATGCGCGGTAAGCTGAATTTATAATATGATTATTATGGTAGTTGAAAGTTAGTTGATGATCAAAATAGAGTCCTAGATCCCTAATATTCTCAGCTTTTTCCAATATAATGTTGTTGAGCGATTATCAGCGTGGTAATGAAAAAAAGTTTATTTATTTGATGGCTATCAAATTTTCAAAACTATGGCACAAAAAATAAAATACGGATCCATATTCAAAAATACAAAGTTGAGGGTGCCCAAGTTCAGCGTCACTCTCTATACAAATTTTATGACCATACTCTGATAATATAAATGAAGAAGGAACGACGAACATCAGAATTTCTAAATTTTTTTGTTTTTCTTGTTTATCTCTAGAACCAAATAATCCACAGTTGACATTTCAGTATTATTAGATAGTACCCAAAAATAGTACGCAATAGTACCCAAAAATAGGCAACTACAATTTAACGCACTTTTTATCATCTCCTATGATTCACGAGATCTGAATATATCAGCGCTTGTTTGAATATTATATTTCTACTATTTTATGATACATGGTGTTTATTCGATTTCAAGGTCGACCAAAACCAACTCTCACCTGGTGGTATAATGGAACGATACTGGACAGTGTGATAGATTCGAGTAGGGCCTCTCACACCACCGTCAATCAGTTGGTGATAGCAAATACTCCCCGGCGTTTCAAGAAAGCCCGTATCGAATGTCGTGCTTCATCTTCAGAGACAGCTGGATTCATCTCAAGAGAGGTACCTCTAACAGTATTTTGTGAGTATTGGTCAGAAAGTATATCCATTTTCTTGTTTCCAAATTGACAATTACTGAGTGTTTTCACACATTACGAAATTTCATCCTAGTTTGATTTTTATTTTTTGATGGAAATCTTGTTTTCAAGGTACAGAAATATTGACTAGATGAATTAATAGTTTCAAAATTGGTAGTTATGAAAAATATTGTGTTTTCGAGTACTCATATCCATGATATTCGCAACTTTATCTTTCAGAATCATCACTTTTCAACTTGTTTGTGAATGATTTGAATTTCTTCTGGTTGCTGATAGTCCTAAAATCTTCAAAGTGATTCATGATCCATCTGTTACAGAATTATCACAGTATTATTTATTTCCTTTTGATCGCTGGTGTGATAGAATCTTATTTCAATTGAATATAGACAAATGTCATGAATCCGCTTCTTTCCGAAACAAAAATCTCATGAATAGTCCATATGAAATGAAGCAATCAGAACTGGGAACAACAAATATATTCAGAGATTCAGGAATCACTCTTGACCCAAAAATGTCATTCAAACCCCATATTGCAAATGTTATTTCTAGATCATACATTATGTCGCTCATATTATCAACAAAACATCAATTCAAGTGAAATTAAATTTATTTTTGCTGTAAAATATCGAGATTTGGAGATGTTCATAAAATATAATATAACGAATACATAGTTTTTGAGGTTATGTTATAGGTTATAGAAATGAAATACATTTGATGGAATGAGAATAGAAAAACACTTTCGCAATTTTTTTGCAAGTATTATGGTACTAGTCTACAGTTTGTATGCGAAATTTGGGATAATTGTAAAATAGTCTCAAATAACTGAAGATTACGGCTAATTGTATGAATTTATAATTGTGTTTTTTCACTATTACTCTACCCAGTTTTCATTTTTGCGGAAATCTTCTTCACCTGACAATCAATGGCGAACCATGGTTCATCGACGTTGTAGCAAAGCTCCATCAGGCTGGTAGGTTTTGAACTTCCGTATATTATCAACATCAGTGTTCAAATTTCATTGATATGTCTCCGAAATGATTAAATTCAACTCTAGTGTGATTACGGTTTTCCTTCATTCTGGAATGATTTCTTATACTGACCGTATGATAGCGTGATATTATCATTGAAATTTCTGAATATTTATCAACCTAAAGACAGCGAGTATTCTGGAATGAACATCGTTATTGTATTATCAAAAATGAATGCACAACATTTCTATAGCTAGCGATTCTGTCAAGAAAATCAACTAACAACCCAAGTGTGATTTCTCATTACACATGACTGAATACAGAAAAATTATTTCTACATTTTTCTGTAGTCTATCAACCTCATTCAATGAGGTTGCAACAAGGTACCATCAGGCCAGTTAGCTATAAAATTCCTTATATCATTAACATCAGTGTACAATATTTTATTCGTATATAATTTAAATAATCAAATTTGAGGCATGTTCCGTAACATTCGAAGTTTGTTATTACAGGTACAAATTATACATCATTATCATTATCATTCAAAAGAACAATTCGTTCAGGCCAGTCTCAACCCCCTACATTGTAGGTTGATGGACTGACACACATCAGAAAACAACTACTCCCCTGGCTAATACCACGAAGTATGTTGGATTATATCCGACATGTGTCAGTGCAGGATTCTTCACTGAAGTTTGGCCAACCGTCAGTGAAAGGTAGTGTATATCATCAATATAAAGTCGACGATTTCCGATAAATGAAAATCAAATTCCTTCAGAGTATCATTCCTCGAACTAAGCTGAAGCATACAACAAACAACAGGTTTGTCGTCGCCCCATCTGTCTGTGAACGAGAAACGAGAATCATGCACTGACACCTGTCGAATATAATCCAACGCCCTTCGTGATATTAGCCAGGGAAGTAGTTGTTTTCTGATAGGTGTCAGTCCATTAACCTACAGTGTAGGGGATTGGGACTGGCCTGAACGAATTGTTTTTTTTGATGATTTGACAAATTATATAGTTCGGCAACCGCGCATTTTTTGACCGCAAAAAAGGATTGATTGTCAAAAAAGGTTGATGATTCAGTAGTACGGAAAAAATTTCAAATAATGGTGAGGTCGTTAGATTCAACGCGTAGTAAATTACTACAAACAGTAGATGAGGTTAATGAAAAAAGTTTAGAGGTTGATGAAGATTTCATTCTGAATTTTTCTGTTTACTATGTTATTGAGGAAATGTGCTGTAATATTAGAGAATGCGAAGATAAAATTCGAAATGAAAATACAGCGGCTTCTACCAGCACAAATAGCAGGCAATCATCCCAAGGTTCACCACGATTACCTAAAATTGATTTGCCGGATTTTTCTGGAACGATTAGGGAATGAGAAATATTTTATTCCATTTTCAGAAATTTAATACATGATAATTCTCCCATATAGGCGGATTAAGGGAGAGCAATGTGAAGTCAGCCAAGAATCACATTTACAGAGTTATTGGTGAGCAGTTACTTATTTATGAGGAGTTCAATGCCGTTTTGATTCAAGAAGAGGCTTCGTTAAATTCCAGACCCTTATGTCAATTGTCGACTAATTGCTCGGCACCTCAAGGGTTGACGCCAGCACCTTTCTTAAGGCCGGGACACACTTGTCATACACCCTTCAGATCCGACTCCCATCATACAGTCGGACGAGTGTCTGAGAGGGAAATGGTACTTTAGTCCTAATAGACTAGTTCACATCGTTCCGATACGTAGTCGGGTGGGAGCGGGGTTCACTACGTATCGGAACGATGTGAACTACTCTATTCCGACTAAAGTACCATTTACCTCTCAGACACTCGTCCGACTGTATGATGGGAGTCGGATCTGAAGGGTGTACGACAAGTGTGTCCCGGCCTTTAACTTTGGCACCTTCGGATAGTTTGCCTGCAGTTAATGTGTTGCCACTCAAATTTAAATGTTTAGATTGTTTCCAGCTGATTGATAAGATGGTGCAATATTTTTGGAAACAATGGTATTTAGAATACTTATATACTCTTCAGATTCGAAGAGAATGGAATATGTCTTCAAATTCAGAAGTAGGTACCATAGAGATTCTTAAATGTAATAGTTCTCCTTTGCATTGTCCTTTGGCAGTTATAAAATAAGTCCATCCCGGTAAGGATGCTATAGTGTAGAGGTATGTTAGTAAGGCCTGTTATCAAGATTTGACCCTTACCGACCCAGTAACTTTTGCCATTGAAGTAATACTTTTTTTTTCTTTTCACTTTTTTTTTATGTTTGAGCAGAATTTATAATTTGTTTCATAAACTGAGTTTTTTTATAAATGTATTCATTATATATTTTTTTTTTCAATTTTGACTGAAAACTTTAGTTTTTCAGGGGGGCGGTAAGTTCCATACCGATCGAAGTTTGTTAATACAGGTACAAATTATATAGTTCGGCAACCGCCCATTTTTTTAAAGGAAAACAAACCGTATTGGTACGAAAATGTAGTATGTTCCTTGAGTTTATGAAAGACGGAGCTCCTGATATATTATTATTGTTGTTGTTTCATCGGTTCGTGATACATTCGAATTTAGTTATTGTTTGACCGGAAATAATTTTTCGGAAGATCTTTTGATTAGAGTTCATATTTCTTTCATTTTCCTACTTTACCTTCCTATTTTCCCTAACTGACAACGTATTGGTTGGAAGGAAGGAACTAGCGACATTTTTTTGGGTGAATTGTGAATTTTTTAACCGAATTAGGTAATATTTACAACAACAACAACAAGTGTAATATATCTGACACAGTTAGTTGCTAAGTGTTGTAAATAAATTAGTTTGTGATTAGTGAAATATTATTGGAAATGAATTTGTTTCAGACAGTTAATTGAATAATTTGTTACAATATGAACAAAGAAGCTCTATATGGAATAAATGTTCGAGAAATATCAACTTGCCTTTGAAAGTGAATATATCGAGATAAGTGTACACTTGAACATTTCTCAATAATTCGATTAGTCACCAAACAATGTTTTGAATATTATACATGGAAAGTTAAAACTTGAAAAGTATAGACAAAGTAAGGAACGCATTCGATATTAATTACTAGATCATAAACCCTTCCAGATGAGAAATGCAAATTATTTCCCAGAAGAAATTCCAAGTAACATCACGTCAAATATTCAAATCACCTATCCATTCTTTCTAAATGTTCAGATTGAATTCTGCATATCCTCTGAATCCTCGTGTGTAGCAAGCTGTTCCATTTTCCCAGCATGAAGTCGCATTCCTGAACAAACTCATATTCAAAACTCTGTGGAAAAATAAACTCTTGGAAGTTAAAATCAATTGATGTCGATTCCATTACCATATTTTATGGTTCTTCTCCATTTTTGCTCATATAAACATTCATTGCTCTGTTTGCTATTGAATAAGACTTCTGGGAAATGAAACGTAGGTGTGGGTTTGTGCTCATTTTATATGTGGAGTTGTACAGTTTGTATTTTGAATTTGTTTCCATGGTTTCATTGCAACCTAGGGCTTTCCGTATATTCATTTCTGCATGGTTCATATTCATATAAAACTTGATCTGATCTTTATTTCTCCGTATACAAAATGGTATAGAGAATATTGAGATGATGGTACATCTTCCATTCATTCGTTGAATATCTGGTTGGAAGGTTTGAGAAATTCCAGTAAAAAGTAGTAACAATTTATCGTCTAACAACCTACTGTCCGTTAAATCCCTGTTAGCCAACGCATTTCGAAATATTGAATTTCAGGCGTTTCTTTTATGTATTATTTCTCAATTATAAAACTGTCCCCGGGGCAGCTTTTGTCACATTTTTGATGGAGTCAGTTCTGAGCATGGCCTCACTGGCAGGCCTTTCCTTTGTGTAATATTTTCCAACTATCAAATTGTTTTCGTGTCGGCTTTAATTACATTTCTGATGGAGTCAGTTCTAAGCCTGGCCTCTTTGACAATATTTTCTCACACCTTGTTCCGATAGTGATCCATTTTTTCATTT